GTCATTCTCATTAGAAGAGATCTAGGGCTGGGAAGGTGGCTCAGTGGTAGAGCGCTTGCCTTGCATGCCTGAGGCCCTGGGTTCAATTCCTCAGCCACAACAGTCATTCTCATTAGAAGAGATCTAGGGCTGGGAAGGTGGCTCAGTGGTAGAGCGCTTGCCTTGCATGCCTGAGCCCTGGGTTCAATTCCTCAGCCACAACAGTCATTCTCATTAGAAGAGATCTAGGGCTGGGAAGGTGGCTCAGTGGTAGAGCGCTTGCCTTGCATGCCTGAGGCCCTGGGTTCAATTCCTCAGCACTACATAAGCAAAGAGAAAAAAGCCAGAAGTGGCGCTGTGGCTCAAGTGGTAGAGCGCTAGCCTTGAGCTGAAGAGCTCAGGGACAGCACCCAGGCCCAGAGATCAGGCTCCACGACCGGACCCCCCCCCCCCAAAAAAAAAATAGAAGAGATCTAGACTTTTTCCCCCAAGGTAATTTCATCTACAGCTTAGCAGATGACTTGTCCCACTATAACCAAATAATATTGTGTGAAGGGAAGGCTTTACTCATTTCCAATTTAAACCCTAAGGGGCTTCCAGCCCTTCCCATTTCCCCTGCAAAACATTCCACTTACATATCACATTATTTCAAACTTATCTGTTCCTTTAGTCAATAAGCAATGGTTGCTCGCCCACAAAGTGGTTGGTACTAATTCTGTGACCAATCAAAACAAAGCTTTACCTTTCTATTGGTTCAGTTAGATGGAAAAACAAGCTTAGGCCTTTACAATGACACAACCAAGTACGAGCTGTAGAGAGCTAAGGCTGTCAGCCACATCCACTAATAAGCCAAAGTGGAAATGAGATGGCCTGAAACCAGAGCATTATGAAGGAGCTTGAGAATGAGTGAACATAAGAAAAGGAATTAAAAAGTCGCTAATAGATTAAAAAAAAAAAAAAAGGTCGAACAAGGATCCAAACTAGGCAGGGAGCAAAAAACCGAATAATCAGAATCCGAACGAATGATAAAGAGGACCCCAAAGGCAGGAACAAGACAAGGATCTGGAAAAAGACAAGGTACGACGATGTCACTCACTTCTGTCGAAGGCTCTCCTCTCTTTCCTTGTCCAGGAGGCTAGGCCACGGTTTGTCGCTGCCGTAGGGGCGCGAGTAGCCGCCATAGTAGGTGGACGAGGAGGCAGAAGCGAAGGGGGTGCTGCGTGGCGCAGAGGGGCGCTCTCGCGAGCGCGAGCGGGAGCGGTAAGACTGGTTTCGGGAGCTTTGGCTGAGGCCGCTCTGATGATGGCTGAGGCCATTCCGGTCACCAGACCGAGAACACGAGCGCGAACGGGAGCGGTGGCCTCGCGGGGAGCGGGCATACTTGCTGGGCTTGGGGCTGTTCGAGGAACTGCGACGTTTTCCTCCGGAACCACTGGCCTCCCACTCAGGGCTTCGGGATCGAGACACCGGAGACATTACTTCAGTTTTCGCCGACGCGGCAGGACATGGAGGTGGCACTCACGACCCTCCAAGAATGTGGACTGCCTTGGCTCCTACAAGCCGCATCACCGAAGCGACTAAACCCGAAGAAAGCTTAGAGACGGTTCCGGGTGCGCCGGCAAACTCCTTCCCCAGATTGCCGGAGGGCGCTGGCCAATGAGAAGGAATGTGTGTATCAGTGTAAATGTGTCCGGTCAGCAAATTGCGACCATGAACTGTCTGGTTCCGAGTGAAGTTCCTCAAATCAATGTGCATAGATCATTTTCTTTGAGTTTCAGATTCGAAATAGTTGAAGGGAAAGACGAATATTAATACAAGATACAACTCATTGAGGAGCCATATAGACAAAATGGTTATTATTATTTTTCTGTCGTTCCTGAGGCTTGAACTCAGGGTCTGGGTGTTGTACCTGAGCTTCTTTGTGCTCAAGGCTACCACTCTACACTTGAGCCATGGCACCACTACTGGCTTTTTCTGAGTCTCACGATTTTCCTGCCCGGGCTGGCTTAGAACTGCGACCCTCAGGTCTCAGCCTCCTGAGTAGGATTAAAGGTGTGACTGGCTACCGGCTCCAGTTAGTGTGTGTGTGTGTGTTTTCATATTCAGGGCCTGGTGGTTGCTCCCTCAGCTTTTCTGCTCAAGGCTGGCACTTCACCACACCAGCCACACAGGCAGTTTGCTGGTTAATTGATGATAAGCATGTCATGGACTTTCCTGCCTAGGCTGGCCTTTGACGATTCTCACTCAGCTCATAACTTTCTGAGGAGCTAGGATTACAGGAATGAACCGCAGGCGCTTAGCCACAGTCAACACTTTTTTTTCTTGGGGGGGGGTCCGGTCGTGGGGCCTGAACTCTGGGCCTGGGCGCTGTCCCTCAGCTCTTCAGCTCAAGGCTA